AAAGGTTAAGTTGAATAACAACAAATAGTATAACTCAACTGAGCCAGGAAAATTAATTGCAAGGGGAAACAACGTTCGCCGGGTCAGCTAGTTACTTTTATATAACAGCATCATAAAACAAATACGGACTTATGGTATTCAGCTATTCATACAAACTTAGTCAAAAATACTGAGAACATATCAAAAACGAAAATATTCCGAGATCTAAAAATTCCCATAGGAAAAGTTGAATTTGACAAGATAAAAAAAATACAATAAGAGACAATTTCCCATCTAAAAAGAGCTGACCGTTCAGCCATTAATTAAAATTCAATAGGTACAAGTAAAAACTCCTCTCTATTTTAGTGATCTGATAAACCTCAATTGTTTTCTTAATAAACCACCCAACATTTATTCCAATGAAATTTACCCATTTTATTTTATTTTAAATCATACAATGTATAGTTAAAATAGAGATTATAATATAACATACTTAGTGATAAGATTTTTAAACTTAATGTTAGCTTTATTGTAAGAGAAGATACAATAAATAAATGTATAAGTATTTAAAAAAAAGTCCAAAGTGTAGGTGGTTGCTGGAAGTGTCTTATAAGAATGTTCAAACGCCTATTCTTAAAGACAATTCGAGGAGAAGCACCGGAGGTGGAAACTTTGAAAGCAGCACTGATTGATGCAGAAGCCGTTCACACGAAATTTCGTATCAAGCTGTGCCAATAGCATACAAACACGATACAATAACGTCATAACTATCAATCTTGCTAAACAGTGGCATATTCTCTAAAATATGAATAGTTATTTCTGGAAAGAATAGACTACGGAGTTCTTGCCTCAAATTTTTCGTCGATCTAAATGATTTAAGAATTTTATTTATTTATTTTTTTTACATTTAATATTTATTTATTTAATTTATTTATAAGCGTTTTTCAATAATGTCTAGTAGTTTGGAAAGCACTTGCTAAAGCGAGACTAAGCTTAAACGGAATTGTGGACTTTTCCAACTTCTGTGTGATAATCTCCTTTACCAAAGAAGCGCAAACACCTGCTCAGCTTAGTTTGACAAATAGAGAAGCTGCAGCAAATTGCTTCTTTGGTGGTTGGATTTCATTAGTAAATTTCTTTATGACGTCTTAAGAGCTAATTTATTTATTCTATATTTTTGAAATCTTATTTAGAACCAAATTAAATTTACATTTGTATTTACAAGGAATCAAGCAACTCCCATTTATTAAATTTCTTGATTCTGTTCTTGAACCAACTCATCCGCTAAAATTTGAAATACAATTGAATGCATTTTAAAGTCTAAACAAATTAACGCATATTTCTCTTTATTTATTTGTTTTGCTTCTTATTTTTATACTTTTCGCTATCAAGTAATGCAAATGGTACCAAAGTTCAAGAAAAAATTTAGATTTTAAGTTGTTCCCAAATTTTAAGGGAAGCAATTCAGAATAGCGGAATTCTATTCTAGGGAGAAATACATTTTAGGACAAGCTTATTGCTTGGGAATATTTAGAATTGACATGAATGAGTTTTTAGATTACATATACCTTTAATATAAAAGAGGACATTAATATTCCAAGGTTCAAGAAAAAATTTAGATTTTAAGTTGTTCCCAAATTTTAAGGGAATCAATTCAGAATAGCGGAATTCTATTCTAAGGACAAATACATTTTAGGACAAACTTATTGCCTGGTAATATTTAGAATTGACATAAATGAGTTCCTAGATTACATATACCTTTAATATAAAAGAGAACATTAATATTATAACACTCATTTAGTAGCTATAAGATAAAATAATAATTGAAATACATAACAATAATGTAAGTATTGTAATTTTCCTTTCTTATAATTTAAGCTTCTAAACCACCTATACTTTTTCTCTTGTTATAATTTTTAATTATATACATATTTTTCGAGATTTTTTCTTATATAAATTTCACTTTTATTAAATAGTAGATATGCCCATGAACTCTTCATGGGCATATGAAGAGGCGGAAGAAATACCACGATACACCACGTCAGGTAAATCTAAATTTAAGTAAATTATTTGTTTAAATTTTAATACCACGTTTTAAAAAAACAAAGAGAAAAAATGACATCGTATACGAAACCTTCATTTTTAACAATAACCAATAGCCATATAAATAAATCATTTAAACATATAAATTATGGTATTAGATGGTACAAATTATACAAATAATAGTACAAGATTAAGCCGATTTACTGAGTGCCAAAAACAATTATCAGATGTGTGCTTTGCTCTCGAAAAAGTTGCAATATCACAAAAAAATACATAAACTTGTATCACTTTCCCAAGTTACCGCCTACGTCTAAATTCATCTTTTAATATGCGAAAGTTATATATAAAATTATATAGTTATCGTTTTTTTGCTAGCTTATCTAACGAATATATTATGGCTTTCGTTAAAAAAACTAATGCAGAAACTATCCATCGCGGTTGTATTGAGTAGTTCCCCAGCCCTATAACCTATTTCACCACCTCTTGTTTAAAAACAAATTTTATTCAGCGAATAAATTTTATATCTTGTACAAACATTGCTTAAAGTGCGTTTCATACTAATGATATGAAAAATTCAAGTAAACTCAGAGTCATAACTCTACTAACATGCAGTACAAAAAACTTCATTTTGAAAATTTTTTCCATAAAACTCAATTTGTTGGAAACATATTTTAGTGCTTTTTAAAACATTCAATGCACAATGTTTTCGCGAAGCTTCTTTGTTCACAAAATAGCCAAGATAACGATACTTTTATTATCAAGGATAGCAAAACAAGCGATCAAAAGTTTCAAGCACTATGTATAAAACGACGTTTTAGTTCAAATTCCTTATTTTTTATAAAACTTAGTAATTAGTTGGGTAACCGTAACGCTTAACCGAAACTACAAGTTTAGTGAGCTCCTGAGTTATAATTTCGCACCATTCTTTTGGTATTATGTCTTTCAAATGTTGTTTGGTCGAAAGTGAATATTTATGAGTTTTTCTTTCCAAAAGGGCCCATAAATGTTCAATTGGATTTAAATCCAGTGACTATGAAGGCGTATTTAGCAGTTTTGGGGTTTTATGTAGCAACCAAAAGAGCTCTATTTCTGCTGTATGTTTAGAATTGTTGCTCTGTTAGTCGCACTTGATCGCATAGAATATTTTGTTTATTGTATGCTTTACCTCGCTTACATCATAATTAGTACGTCTTTGTATGCCAAAAACATAGAACTTGGATTCATCAGAGAAAACCACATTGTTCCACAACTCCTCCGGCATATCTACATATTTATTCTCAAAAGCAATGCGCTTCTTTCGGTTAATTAAAAACATGTAAGACTTCCTTTGTGCTACTCTACCATAAAAACCAGCGCACCTTAAAATTATGCATGTGGTAACTATAGAAATATTTTTACAAGGCTTTCCTTTACATTTCGTACAATTTCCAATGCCATCAAACGTGGATGGCATCGTTACCAAATTTAATATTGAGCAGCTTTCACGATGTGCAAAATTTCGGTGGATGACCAGAACGCGGCTTTGACGTAATAATTTCGGTATTTTTTCAATTTTTGATCACGGTATGGACCGAACAGTACGATTTTACATTCCTTCCAAAATTTTATGGTGATTTTCCTTTTTCCGATGCTTACTTCTTTCTGATTAGATACCATTGAAATTTTTAGTAAGTATTTTAAGCACAATACAATTTTTTGCAGTTTTATGATTAATTACCACAAACGCAATGAGATGTAATCCAATTTTTATCAATTAGCATTTAATTCGCATTAGAACTGCAGAAGTACCAAGCGCTTGTAGATTTTTGATCACCTGTTTTGCTATCCTTGCTTGTTTTGCAATAAAAGTACCGTTACCTCGGCTGTTTTGTGAACATGTGCAAAAAAACTTCGCGAAAACATTGTGCATTGAATAATATAAGAAAACACTAAACTATGTTTCCAACAAATTGAGTTTTTTAGAAAAAATTATCAAAACAAAGATTTTTGTACTGCCTGCTTGCTTATAGACTTATGACTCTGAGTGTGTATAAGAAACTAAAATACTATTTTATATCCCAACCATAATATAACATGATCGCAGTCTCATTAAAACCAATCGTGGAAGAGTTAACTACATCCAAATTGTGGTCTACACAGGCTAGATTTTGACAAACATTTTCTATTATAATACAAGTTAGTATTATTTACGAATTTTACTAATAAAAAATTTTAAGTGGGTTACTGAAAAATTGAATATACAAATTCTCCGCGTATATAGTTTGATTTTCAGTGAATCGTTGCACGTAGTTAAGATCAAACACTATTTCATAGTGATAATTTGCACAATGTTAAATGCTAACTGTATTTTTTTTTTCAAACTTGTCCTACATGTTTCAAGGACTTGTTAAATTCACACGCATATGCAAGTTAAAAATCGTAAATCTCGAAACGTACAATTTAATTATGCACTTTATTTCGTTTAAATTTTGTAAAATTTATTTTAGTCTTTTGTAAAGATATTGTAGTAATTTTAAATCTAGTCACAGGTAAAAATTTCTTTGATTTCCAAATACTTTATATATATATATATATTATATTTTAGCTTTATTTAAAATAACATATGAATATGAAAAATTAAATATTTTTCTTGATATACAGAAATAATTTTAATATACTTATAAATACCATTCTTAGCAATATTAAGATTTAAATTGCTTAATTGTTACATTAAATGGGTAAGAGACTGTAAAACAAATAACTAAAATTAAAAGCTATATTTGAGACAAATCATGTAAAATTTAGATGCGCAAACCAGATAATACTACACATCAATTTTTTTCGTTTAAAATTTCAATAAACAGATTTAATAAATTTAAAAATTAAATTTTTTATGCATATGTATAAACAAGCCTCAAAACTTGGCAAATGACAGATTCACATAGGAATTTAAAGTATACTTATACCAATCTAACACAAAAAGAACATTTATGAATTACCGAACCACAATTATTTACTCATCAATTGAAAATAATACCACTGATTTATATCAAATATCTATTGAATCTCTCACAACACTTGCTTAATATGAAGCCAAATGTACATTAAAAGAGTAAAACGGTAACAATATGCTTTTTATAAAAAATCGGCACTAATTTTTACAAAACTATCATTTTTTGACATATAAACGTGCAATACTGTCGACCGCAATTTCTCATCACGAACACCACAGGACTGAAAAATTAATTTGACTAGGTGTTACCATACATAACTGTCCCTACTAAATAATTTTTCCCACTATATAAAAACTTCTAACACTAATTTACATTTATATATTTATTAAAAATAATAACACTAAAACACTACAAAAACAATAACACTAAAATTATTTACAAAGTAGTTGAATGACAAATCAGTAATAACACAAAAAATTCCAGTTGCATCATTGGATAATATATATATACAATTATGTACAAAAGCAAAGAATATCATTTGAAGAATGGAAACTCCGTTTACTTTGAACAAAACTAAGAGAAATTGCTTAAAAATAATCATTTTTTATATTTATGTTATATGTTTTAAAAATATGTGATTACACCACAACTTTTCGCACTTTCAAGGCTGCTGGGGGGTTTATTCTTCAAATGTACAATCTAAAGTATACATATGTGTGTGCTTATATATTAATATTACTATTCCTCAACTTTGAATAACAAATTTTTCTGTCAAAAAGTGTACACTTTTATCAAATTTTATTCACCGTAAATTTGGCCGTGAGTTTTTAAAAAACATGGGAAATTTTGGACAAAATAATATATAAATTTGTATTATTATTTTTTATAGATTTTAAAAATGGAAAAATTTGAAAGAGCAAGAAAAAGTTTGTACTCAAATATCAATATAGAATTTTCAAACGATTGTAAAGTTATAACTTATGTTATAAAAACTGTAAAAAAATTTAAAAATATGACATAAAAATTTTAATTTCATAATTATTATCGCATTATAATTAGTATAATGTGTCCCATTTTGTTTACTTATTTACTTTTAATTACTAAGTGTATTTAGCGTAAATACAGATATCTTCATTGACAACTGTCAAAAATTTATTCAGCACATCTTTATATTAAATTCAGCACGAAAAATATATTAGCACTTGAGGAATAACATTTTGCAAGAAAGTGTTAACTACGATGTGAAATGAGTTTTTCGTTTGCGTGTACACAAAATTTTTTTCACAGTTGAGGAATCGATTTTTTTTCAACTACTTACTATAAAAGTTTTTATTTAGATAGATATATTAATTTTCGTAAATAAATAAAGGTATATATTACATATAATAATATTATTATTAAATTAAATGGGTTTAATTAAAGTATAATTATGCAAAATGTTGTTTTGATTGAAATTGTGTATGTTACGCAATTCACACTTTTTTGTAGTACATTCACACTGTCTCATTTATAGCATTGACAGACGAGCGCGCTTAATTATCATTAAGCTGCCCCATATGATCATTTTAAAAATACCCTGATAGACGGTATAAATTACCATTAAGAAGTTGCTGTATCATATGTTTTTTTGTTAATAAAAAAGTGAGAGAATTTTTAATTCAAAATGGATAAGCAAGAAAAATTAAAAAAACTCGATTTAATTCGGTTACGCCGTTTGTTCAATTTAAAACTAAAAATTTTATTATTGAAAGTAATAAAAAATCATGAAGCTATAAGTATACGTTATACTATGAAAACTAAATTCATAGCAAGAAGAACATTGTCGCAAATCTGTATTGTTTACACTTTCGTTTCACTTGCATATGCAGCACTACCATTTCTGAAAACCTAAACGAGAATTAAATTAGGTTAAATTCGGTCATTTAAAGACCATAAATGATAAATCTGTGAAATGACCAAATAAATTCTAATTTAGCCACTTAATGATAATTTAACTCCCGTCAACCTTTTTTGGAAACTCAATAGAGAAAATTTTTTTAAAAAGATTTTCGATAGCACAACCACACTCCATAGTTATTAGTTAAAAGGTGCTAGAAAATAAAACTCTTTGTTTTATAACATTGTAACTCCAGAAATAATTAATTCCAATACTAACTAAATTGCAACACAGTAAAATTTTGACATAGGCATTCAATATTAATTGATTTTATATCTCAATAATATTTTTATCGCAGTGTATATTGTAATTATTTAAATGAAAAAAAAATGAAACTATTTTCACACAAAAATCTATCCTTTATGCATATATTATATTACATTGCATTAGAGGAACAACATTTAAATTTTGTAAACGCATTATAACGCAATAAGGATTATTGCTAAAATTTATTTGAGTACTTAGGTCGTGTGCGAGTTAGGCTAAGTTGCGTTCTAAATGAGGGAAATTCTAAGTTGTGCCAATAATGTAGTTATGTGACGATACTTAGCATATTTTCAAGGTGGCTAAGTCGAGACTAAATCGCCAGGGTTGCCATTTTAGTATTTTCATAAGATAATATTTTCATAATTGACTTCAAATAAATATAAGAATATAGAAAATGACAATAAAAAATAATTTTATTAAAACGTTTTGTTTTATTTGTATTAAAAAAAATTAATCATCGTTATTAGCAAACTTTTAACCGAAAACTTGATCACTTTGTGCATATATTTTTCATTATTTAATGAACATTTGCAATAAATTCTGTAAATATTTGTATTTTCTAAAATTTTAATTACTTTTATTTAATATTATAAACATTTCTTTGATAAAATTTTATTATAGTGGCTAATTCCAAAAAACAAAGTCAATTTCTTTTCAATAACTTGGCAATCTTGTTTTGCTAATTTTTGACGTTTGCAAAATTTTGTTTTTATTCAAAATATCCAAAATTTTTGAATTGTGGTTATATTTTGCAGCTTAAAATATTGTTATTGTATGTAAAATTTTTAGAAATGTCTAGAAAGCGCGTTTACAATAGAAAATGTAAGTATTTATTTTATTAATTTTACTTATATTTTACATGTATAAACGTATTTCTTAATTATAAGGGATTACGCAATGGTGGAGGCGTTCATTCAGGCCCGCATAGGGCTGGAAGACGTGTTTGTTCAGAAGCGAACAAATATTAGGGAATGTTGGGAGTAAGTTATTCAAATTATTAATTATAATAATTATTATTAACAATAATACCAACATAATTTAATGTTAATAAGTCCTGTTTTTCCGAAATAAATCAACTTTATTAATTTACGAAATTTTTAGATTGTTTCCTATGTTGCCATTAAATATATATTAAAAATAAATTTTTATTTTACAGGCTCGTTGGTGAGCGATGTGGATACAATGATGATTGGACCGCCCTTAAAAAACGGTGGCTCAATTTATTGGGAAAATACAAGGTAAATGAATTTGTTTTGAATATGACAATATAATAATAATATTTTATTTTTTAGCGTCTCAGAAATCCACCGACAGGTAGAGGCGGCGATGGCGCTGACAATGCAATAAATTGGCCGTTTTATGGCCAACTTCATGAGTATTGCAGTCAGCGCCACAATTTCAATCCACCTGTTGTAATTAACAGTGAAGGGAATCTAAGGATTGAAACTGAATTCGCATCACCTTTGGCTTCATCGCAGTATACCGCATCATCACACCCTGCTTCACAGCCGTCTTCATCACACACTGCTTCACAGCCGTCTTCATCCGGCCGAAATTCGCCTTCATCCAGCAGGGGGCCAACGAGGCGAAATTTTATAGCCTCCTCAATAAAGACGGACAAGGCGATAAGGAAGGCAGCACGGGCCATTACTCACTATATTTCGGCTGCCACACAAATCGAATTCCAATCGTCCGATTCTGAGTAAGGGCCCTATTAGTTGTAAGATAGCTTTTAAGTAGTTTTAATAAATATTATAAGTAGCTTTAATTAATTATAAGATAGCTTTTAAGTAGTTTTAATAAATATTATAAGTTTAAGTTTATAAGTTTATATATTATAAGTTTATAAGCTTTTAAGTAGTTTTAATAAATATTATAAGTAGCTTTAATTAATTATAGGATAGCTTTTAAGTAGTTTTAATAAATATTATAAGTAGCTTTAATTAATTATAAGATAGCTTTAAGTAATTAATTTTAAATAAATTTTTCTAACTAAAAAAAATAAGTGTATTTAAAATATCTTTAATACATGTATATACATGTATATATATATATATACATGCATTTAATAAAATAGGTTTTTTTTATTAAAATTTATAACTCAATTACATATGAATGTTGTTTGCAATTTCATCGCGCATAGAAATTGCATCAATATTTTCATTCTCAGTAGCAACTCCGTCATAATAACAATCCTCTACGATGTTATTTACTTCAATCAGATCAAGTCCATCATTCAGGCATATATTATGCATAATGCATGCCACAGCTATTGTTTGAACACAGTGTTCAAGATTTAACCTAAGAACTTTATCAAAAATTGAGCGCCAACGTATTTTCAATGCACCAAATGTACATTCAATAACAGTACGAGCCTTACTATGAAGCTCGTTAAATTTCTTTTGTCTTGCTGTTAACGGCTGCAATCTTTTATATGGAGTGAGAATTGCTATTGGACTAGTCCGACAACAGTATCCACTATCGCCTAGCAGGTAGTAGCCTGGTGGAGGAAAATTTTGCAAATTAAATAATTCACTGCTTTGTAGAACCCGCTCATCGTGCACCGATCCTGGGAAACCAACACAAATAGATAAAAATTCCTTATTACTGGAGCATACAGCTTGTAAATTGATTGATGTAAATGACTTTCGGTTCATGTATTGGTCACGAAGTCGTACAGGCACAGCTATTGGTATATGTGTTCCATCTATGGCACCTAATGCACGATTGAAAATTGTAGTACCGGCTCGTTGGTTAAATTTTGTAGAAGTGCTTTCACACTCACTTTCAGCTGGATATTTAATAACCGATGACTTTAATGAAAGGAACCCTTTCAAGCACTTGTAAACAATATCCCGCACAGTATATCTCGAAATTCGAAACGAAGCTCCTGTTACACGATAGCTTGCACCACAGCCAAGCCAATATAAAAATACAGTAATAATAAACCGGTCATTCCATCCCGTTTTAGTATTTAAAAACCTTTCACCGTAATTGAAAACTCTTTCCAATGCTATTACTGTAAGCCTTAAATGTTTTCTTATGATTGTATTATCTTTCTCCACAACAGCTCTAAATATTGCCGAAGAATATCCATTTTGGCATAAAAGCTCGCGCTAAATAGTCAAACTGATAATTTATGTTATTTACTGAAATTATTTTATAATTACATTTGGATATTCTTCTAAGAATCTCTCTTTCAATTTATTATGCTGACTATATAATTCCATTAATTTGCCAAATTGCGCAAATAAAAATACTTCATCGATTTCTACGTTCTCTGCCATCGCAAAATTTGTAACAAAAGTATTGAAATCAAAATATATTCACAGTTGATACTAGCTGTCAAAATGTAACTCGCACACTTTTTTGGGCTAAGTGGCTAAATGTGTGCAGTGGAAAAAATCCCAAAAAATCTCCCATTTGGTTTAGCATCAACTTAGCCTAACTCGCACACGTCCTTAATATTAAACGCATAAATTTTTATATGTGCACATATATTTACCGTTTCAAAACCTAGAAATGTTTAAAATGATTAATTTATATATTTATATGTAAACAGTCAAATATGCATACAAACTGGTTTTGTATAAAAGGCCAGTTGAGAGTATTGAATGCAAAAGAAGTCGGTCATCGTTAACCCATTAAGTACCACGCAAGTTTAAACTTTGAATTTTATGGTGAATTTTCAGAAAGGTGTTATTTTACTTTAAAAATATTCCCTGCAAAATTAAATTTTTTTTTTGAAATGTAGTGTTCAGAAATAAAACTACTATACGGTTTGGGCATTTGTAGGATACTGATTTTATTTAAAACAATGTTCTGTATTTATACAAAATTATCTTAAGACTAATTTTACATCAATGTTATAATAATATGATTTTTAATGGACTGTATTACATATTGTTATTGTTGGCAAAAAAGGTAATAACGGTTGAAAAAGGACGGAAGTCTCAACACTAGGGATTCTTTTTCCTATTGTTTTAATAAATATATTTTATTATGATACGGGTGCTCAAAAATGTTACTATTTACCTATATTTTTTCTTAGTTCCATTCTAAGAATTTAGGTGATAATGGATTTATAATAATAAACTATAATAATATAATATTTGTTACGATATAAAATTAATAATCGTAACAAGATGGCATCATTAAGGTGATCAGCTGTTTTTATGTGGAAAAGATAGTAAGCAAAGAATACTTGTACAAGAACGGCAACTTAAATGTAAACAAAAAAAACCAACCACTACACTCTCAAAATAATTTACTACTACCAAACCAAGCACGTTGTTTTGTTGTTGCAATTCGACCCACCACGACTGAAAAGTTTCACCACCCCGAACGGAACATTTCACCACCACGAACGGTCTTAATTTTTTTATTACGAAAGAGCGATATGAAGAGCGCAAATTGGGTTTTGTTTAGTTATTTTGACAGGAGAAATGCGCCAAAAACTGAAAAACGTAGTCAAATCAAACTGAGTTATAAAAAGTAGTGAATAAGTTTCTTTGAAAAAATAATTATGTATATTATAATTATTATTATAGTAAATTATTGTATATTATTATTAATATTTAAAGATGGTGCGAAATTGCGTGATGGGATGTCAGTTATTTAAGGGAATGTATGAATTTCCTAAAAATGACGAAAGAAGGTAAAAAAACCATTATTTATTAATTGTGGATTTAAAATATATGTTTTGTGTTTAATGTGATTTGTTTTGATGTGTATAAATACAAATTAGTAAAGCAAAAATATATGTGAGTATATTTTTAATATATTTTAATAAAGTTGTCTTATGTGTTAATTTGTGTTTGTTAAATATGTAAAAAATCCAATAAGAAATATAAAAAAAACAAAAATGGTATACAATTTTTTGGTGGTAAATGGAGTGGAGTATGTAAACTACATTTGTATATTAAAATATTCATATTCAAATGTATTAATAATTTAAAGACTTTTAATATTATTTATTTTATTATTAATTGAATTCAACAATTTTATTTTTAATAAAATACTTTTATGTAATAAAATAACTTTTAATATATTTTCTAATAAACAAATTTTACCATTTCATTTGTTCATATTAAAAACACTGAACTGAATTAAATCGTATATTCTTGGGACTGCTTGAAATTAGAAAATATAAATTTTTGACAATTTTTGTCAAAAATTGAGGTTGCTTTTTTTGCGTTATTAATATTTTGTGTTTTGTTGTTTTCTGTTTTATTTTCAACAATAATTGAATTGCCTTAATACAACATTTTTTTTTAAATTATTTTTTCTGGAATGAGAATTATTTTATTATTTTTTATAATATTAAGTGCATTAAGTACATGCTGTTTATTGCAATATCTTAAAAACTAACTTAAAAGCTAACAAGATATTTATTCAAGTACAATTTATTTTGAAAATTACAACTATTAGAACATATAATAAAATTGAGTTAAAAAATATAAGTTTGCTATAACTTCAAATTGGATATTATTATATAATGATAAGGAAGTATAAAAATTAAACTAAAATTAACATTTAATTTAAAATAAAAATAATATATTAAATAAGTTCAGTTAACAATAACTTTTTAAAAACTCTTAAATTACATGCATTTCGGGTTGAACTTGGTAAAGCGTTCCATAATCGGATTGAATGAATAATGAAAAACCTAGTGGTAGCAACAAAATTAAATCTTGGAATTATGAAAAGAATAGATCTTGTGGAACGCATAGGCTGCAAGCAATTATAAAGGTACTCAGGATATTTAGAAGTTTTTAATTTAAACAGAAATAGGCAGATTCGAATATTTAAATACTGTCAATGTCACAACCCAGTATAGCGTTTCTATAAACTGTTAGATGATCCAAACGTTTAAGGCCGTAGACGTATCTAGTACAGCAGTTTACTACAGTTCTCAGTTTAGCAAGGGACTCGTAGTCAAGTTTACAGTGCACCAACGCGGCATAAGTAATTATAGGCAATATTAGTTGTCTGACCAATAAGCCACGGACATGGACAGGGGTATACTTAGCAGATAAATTCAAATATCTGAGGCAAATAAATGATTTCCTAACGACATGATTGATATGATCAAAGGCATGTAGCTTTGAATTCAAATTAAATCCTAGACATGCACTATATTTAATAATTGAGTTTCCAATAGCTACCGATCGTAATTCGTCTAAGTTTAATTCAGACCTACTAAGCGGCAATATGATGGTTTTATCTGCATTTAGCAGCATATTGTTTTCAACTGCCCAGCGATGTATGCATGTTAAATCTATATTGATCTTTGTGACAATGTCATTTAAATTATCACTCCGACACGAATGATACATTTGTATATCATCAGCATATCCATGTAGCCTCGAAAATTGACATACTGAGAAAACGTCATTAATATAGATCGAAAATAGCAATGGCCCAAGAATCAATCCTTGAGGAACTCCAGAAAACAGAAGTTTAAAATTTGAAAATTTATTATCAATAACTACTGACTGAGATCTCTCAGTTAAATGACTAAAAATAAATTTAGAAGCTAAAATGGAGAAGTGGAACTTATTTATGAGCATTTTACAGAGCAAAGCGTGATCAACTCGATCAAATGCTTTTGAAAAATCTAGAAGACATAAGTAAGTAACCAAATCCCTATCATAACTTAATCTAATATCTTCAAGGACTTTCAGCAAGGCAGACGCACAACTATGACCTTTTCTGAAACCAGATTGATAAGGAGATAGCAGATGAAAAACGTTTAGATGATTACGAATCTGTTCAGACATTATAGTCTCACACACTTTGGAGAGAGAAGAAAGAATACTGATAGGTCGATAGTCAGAAACTAATGAAGCATTAACTTTTTTCTCAGTTGGAATAACTTTAGCTTGTTTCCATGCCACTGGAAATGTAGAGGTAGTAATACAATAGTTTATAATATGAGTTAATGGAGATATTAGAAATGGTAAAATAAGCTTTATGAATTTAAGAGGAATTTCATCTAGCCCAACAGCATTAGACTTAATATTCATTAAATTCTTAAAAACAATATCTTCACTGACGCAGTAAAAATACGAACACTCATTACTTGCTTGAAAGCTATGCCATCTAATACAACTAACGCGTTAAAGATGTTTTTATTTTTGAACGACTCATATATTTTCAAGACTTTTATATATTTAATCTCCATATTGTTTTGATTTCTTATTGCTTGTAGAAATTTATCATTTTTCAAACTCTCGCTCATGCCGGTAATAAGGATTTTAGGGTTTCGCATAGCAGGTGTCTCAATTTCATAGTTCTTACCTAATTTCTTTTTAATTTCTATTGCAAGAATTTCTCTCTCTTTTGAGGTTACACACTTTATTGTTACCCTTCCATCATGTTTAGAATGAACACCACAAACTTTAACATTAAGCTCTGATGGATTTATTTTAGTTTTTAAATCATTTTTAGTTGCTTCACTTAATTGCTTATTTTTAGGTTTTAGCGTTATTGGAATATTTGGATTGTTTTTCATCTTTAATTTCGCGGCGTACGTTTCGCTTTGAATTTCATTATTTTTGATGGTTTTTACCAATTCAGCACCTAATTCGTTGCCATTTTTAGTCAAATTATCAGACAAGTCTATTATTTTTTGCTCAAACGAAGCCAATTTTTTTTCATATTTTTCTTGTACTGCTATAAGAGAGGTGACTCTGTCGGAACACTTAGATTCAATTGCTTTTAGTAAAGATTTAATTTCACTTTCATTAATTTTTAGTGATTCCTTGAATTCGCTTTTGTATTCTTTTAAAATGTTCGTATTTTTAGTTACACTTTCTTGCATTTCTCTTAAGTCTACATTATGTATGTATTGCACACAGTCTTCACATATAAAATGTATCATTTTATTATTTAAAATAATAATTTGTTACCGGGCTAATTGGTCAAATTTTAATATAAATAAAAAGACACTAATTTGTTATTTATATTTAAAAATCGTTTATACTTTATTTCCGATATTTCGACTATCTTCGATAGTCATCTTCAGGGAAAACTACACAAAATATAGGATGTTCACATTTTTATAACGGATTATATGGTGTGGATGACCAGGAATATAAACCAAGATTATTAACGAAGTATGTAGATGATATCTTCGCGATAATACGCAGAAATAAAATAACTCAAATACTTCAAATTTTGAATTCTTTTCACACAAATTTAAAATTCACCATAGAAGAAGAAAAGAATAACAGGCTTCCTTATTTAGATGTTGAATTAATTAGACATAATAACCAAATTCACT